CCGAGGTTTGTGTTTATCTGCGTGTTTTTGTGGGTTTCTGTTTCCACTTTCAAAATTGTTTTTAATTATTCGTTCTGTTTTTTACCATAATATTTGAACTTTTTGGTTTAATTTTCTCATTTGTTTGTTTTATTTCTTCAGTTTTCATGAATATGTAGTTTTTTCTGGACTATTTTTTATGAACTTCCTCTAAATTCTGCCCTTCAGAGAAGAATTTTTTGCTCAATTTGAGGTAGAAAAAAAATTAAAATTGAATTTCGTGATCATAATAAAGTTTTGGGTTTTTAAAATTTTTTAATTATTTGGTTCTTTCCTTTTGAATTCCCCAAATATTATTCCACATAATATCTTTGATTCTATTCTTCTGGAATTCAGATCTTTCGGGGCATTCCATTTGGCAACTTTCCTTGATAAAGAATAGTCAGTGAAGATCCCACTTGATTTTCACCTTAATTAAATTTAACACCCTAATTAAATTTAAATTTCACCTTAATTATATGCACCGATTTCTTTTTCTTCAAGTTATTCTGACTCTCTCTTCTTTGTTCAAACATCACCGACTTGACTTTTCAATGAAAGTGCTTGAATTTCAAATTTTCGATAATACCCTTCCATTGACTGATTCTCCGTTGATTTTCAGGGTTATGATCGACAATGCAGGTTGCGCAGACTCCACCAGAGTCATGGTATGTTCGCTTCTCAGAAAACCCGTGTTTGTAATAATTATTTAGGTCCCATTTGGTACACTTTAGTTTATAAATGAGAATGAAAAATAATGGTGACTTGAGACGATAATAACGATTATATTTTTCATTTTAATGGGCAAATAATAGGAAACAACGGGGGCTTAATTATTTTTGTTAATCTTGCTTAATTTTTTCTTCAATTTTTATTAATCTTTACAGATTGATAGTGCTAGAAAACATGGGATTCTTCTGGAAGCTGTTCAAGTTCTTACTGATTTGAATCTGTCAATTAAGAAAGCTTACATTTCTTCTGATGGTCGGTGGTTCATGGATGGTAAGCTAATTATTTTGCTAACTTGCGCCTTTAAAATTGTCGTTTATTAGCATTAAATCTTTAATTAATGGGCTTTAATGCCGTTTCTTTAGTCTTCAACTAATTTTACCGTTTCGTTTTCTTTAATTTTTTTTGCAGTTTTTCATGTGACTGATTTGGATGGAAACAAATTAACCGACGAGAGTGTCCTCAATTACATCGAACAGGTAACTATTAATTACTACATAACTTTGCTTACTGATTTTATTATATATTTATTTGATTGATTGTGTCTGTTTTTCATGTTGATACAGTCTCTCGGGACAATTCATTATGGGAGATCAAAAAGCTTCGAGGGCCTTACAGCATTAGAATTAACGGGTACAGATCGAGTTGGCCTATTGTCCGAGGTTTTTGCAGTTCTGTCAAATTTACAGTGCAATGTCGTTGAAGCGAACATGTGGACGCACAATGGACGAATTGCATCCTTAATTTACGTTAAGGACAATGATTCTGGGTCCCCAATTGAGGATTCGAAGAAAATTGAAAGAATCAAGGCAATGTTAAGGAATGTTCTCAAGGGTGACAATGACATCCGTAGTGCCAAAACATCAGTTTCCTTGGCTGTTACACATACAGAAAGAAGGCTTCATCAAATGATGTTTGCTGATCGAGATTATGAGAGGAAGCCACCCATTAAAACTTGTGAAGAATCCCCAGTTGTGGCCGTACAAAATTGTTCGGAAAAGGGTTATTCTGTTGTTAATATCCAGTGTAAGGACCGGACGAAGCTTCTGTTTGATGTTGTTTGCACATTGACGGATATGCAGTATGTTGTTTTTCATGCTACAATTAACACAGCTGAAGACACAGCCTCTCTGGTATATAATTTTTCAACTGAGTATTTTTAGCTTCATTTTTTGAAGGGAAATTTCCATAATTTGGTATGAATCTTTTCAGGAATTTTTCATTAGGCACATGGATGGAACCCCGATTAATTCAGAAGCAGAAAAGCAACGTGTGATTCTATGCTTACAAGCTGCAATAGAAAGAAGGGCATCACAGGTGATAATTTGTGCCTTTATTCTTTAAATTAAAGAATGTTCTTGTTCTTGATTTTTTAGTCTAATGGAATCTTCTTGTCTGATAACAGGGTGTAAGGCTTGAGCTGCGTATGGACGATAGGCCAGGCCTATTGGCTGATGTGACACGAACCTTCCGAGAAAATGGCCTAAATGTGACAAGGGCTGAGATATCGACTACAATGGATAGGGCAATAAATGTGTTTTACGTCACAGATGCAATCGGGAATCATGCTGATTCAGAGATCATCGAATCTGTTCGACAAAAGATTGGGTTGAGTAAACTGAAAGTGAAGGAATTGCCCTTGATCTATCATCAGAAGGCAGAAAGGGACCAAGCCACGACGGGTCCCGGTGGGACCATGTTGTTATCACTTGGAAGCCTTGTGAGAAGGAATCTATACAATTTGGGATTGATCAAATCTTGTTCTTGATTTATCAAAAAGGCATATTCTTTGCTTCAGACAGGTTTCATCAGCTGGGCATTTGTACATAGTAAAAGGTTTTTGAGACAGGATTTGGTATGGTAGCTGTTATGGTTGAAGTTTGGTTGGTCTAGTAGGTAGAGACTCACACATGGAAGTGAATGGTATGGGGCCCACCTCCCCACCTTTTTTCTTTGGTAAAATTGTTTGTTTGGAAGAAGTGATATGAATTTTCAAGATGGAAAAATGGAAGGGAAAGTTAAAAAATGGTAGTGGTGGGTGGTTTTGGTCATATGTTTTTACTTCTTCCGTGATGTTTAGGTGGTAGTAGTAATAGGAGAGGATATCGTTTTCACACAACATATTGTACATCATTATTATTTTGTTCAAAGTAAAACATAGTTCTAACGTTTGGCTTTGAATGATTTGCAACCACCACAAGAATTCTACTCTTTCTATTGTTGTTAACTTTGAATGACATTTTACTATTGAAATTGACATTAAGAGTCCATTTGATAAAACTTTTACTACTTGTAGAAGAGTTTTTTGTTTCTTTAAAAGTTCTTTTAGTTGGATAAAATAATTTCATAAAACTATTTAAATATAATCAAAAGTAATTTTTTAGTTTCAGAATCAATTTTTAATTTTTCAAAAGCCCTTTTAAATGGGGTCCTAACTCGATGTTATTATGTTTCCGTTTAGTTCAACTATAAAAGTAGATTAAAATCTAAATTAAAGTTAACAATTAATTTCAATCATACATTCCATTAATTTTTATCAAAATCTAAACCAAACTGAAGCTAAATGATAATTACTATTATCATTGACATGAACACATTGATATGCATGTTAGAGTATCTAATTCGATACAAGTATCAAAGATAACATAGTTTTAATATATCTCTTCTTTTAAATCTCGTTTAATCTCATCCTTCCATGAAAAACATGTGACAATATTTTGGTAATTGTAAACCTGTAAGTCTGTAACTATTTTCCCATCAGAATTTCAGTAACAAACCATCTATTCGAACATATATTGAACATGTTTAGGAAAACTTTTTATATCGTTGATCGAAGAATTTTACAAGAATTAGTACCTAAGTTGTCTCTTTCATTAACATTTAGGGTTCTTATGCATCGTGGTTTCCAATTTCCAGTTGGAGAGTCTCTTAAATTTGTTGTACTTTTCATCATTCTAGTTTTTGTACTCTTTTGAAGATTCTATAGGCTGGTATTTGCTTAGCATTTGTCTGTTTGTTCCAAGACTCTTGGTTTTTAGCTAAAACATGTGCAAATAACGTTAGTATCTATGCCGCATTTCGAATCTAAACCAAAAAATTGTTTTAAAAAAAAATAATAATAATAAATATAAATATATATATATATATATATATATATACACGCACTAATAATTTAATTAATTGACATATTTTTATAACTAATTTAGGTCAAAGGGAGACGGCTCTTTGTTTTTCTTCTGGTTTTATCCATATCTATAGGAAAAAGACACAACTTGAGACACCAGTCTATCCCTTCCAAAACTATACACTAATTGCTACTTCTAGCTTTGGGTTTATCTACCAACTTTTTCTTATTTTTATCAGTTTCTTTGTTTTTTATACCAAATTGTTTCTACTGTTTGTTGATTTTTGTCATATACAAAGAATTAAATACAACTTGATCCTTCATTCATCGATTTGTGTACGTAAACATATAATAATACATCATCAATTGTTATCTTATTTTTTGAACTTAGCTAGCCATTTGCATTATTCTTATAATGAATTTGACAACCCTAATCGTTTAAGAATAAAGATTTCTGAGATCGTGTAATACAAAGATTTCTAAAAAATGCACTTTTTTCATGAAAGTTTTTACGATGTTTCTATTGTAACATGGGATTCTTTTCTCATTATTGTTATTTTTTAAGTATATTAGTGGAACATCCTTAAACATATATTTTGATCTTAAATTAATAGAGAAAAACTGAGTTTCAACTAAAGATCCAGCTAACTTTGTGTTGCGAACTTTAGTTTAACAACAAAACATTCAAAGATATACGGGTAAAAATTATTTTCTTTTTTCGTCAATTGAGGTGAGATTAGATCATATGTTCCTTTCAAAGTTTTGTATTTTCTTTTATTCTCTTTCGAGTATTAAAAATACCCACTTGTGTGGGTTCGATTTGAAAAATAAACAAATAAATGGATGGATAAAAAAAATAATTCATTCAAAGTCACCGAAATTACCAATACTTTGTTACTGCAACTTGTATTAAATTAATTAATCCTGACTAGGCAGCATGAATGCTGATCAAGAGTCGAGGGCTAGAAAATATAATTAAATATAATAGAAAAGAAGAAGCGTGCATGCATGAGGCATCAGCCTGACCAACACGCCGCCACTTGCGGCGGTAGAGGCGTGAATCTGCGGCGGTTGCTCCGCCGTGAGTTTTTACAATTTCACATGCAGAGAAAAAGATTTTCTTGGTCAATAGTCAAATCCTTGTATTGTTGGCTGGCTCTGCTTTTCACAGGTTTGCACATGAAAGAATGAATTTAGGTTAGACTCCCAAAAAACACGTTACTGAGTTGTCTACTCACCAATCTATGCTTTTTCTTAGGATAGTCGTTGTTACTGTATATTCATGTGATCGAGGCGGAGGCGCACACAGAATCCTTGTCGGTTCTTTTTTTTTTTTTTTTCAAAATTATTTAGGTTTATTAAAAAAAAAAGAAAAAAAAGGATATTTTGGCCTTTTTTTAATTTTTTAATTTTTTGGGGAAACCAAGAGAGATAATGAACTAAGTTCAAAGTCACGAAGTGAAGTTCATGCATTAACCAAGGGAGAGAACATTTTCTTGACTTGCATCAAAATATATATTGTAATTCTTGTAGATAATTTGAGTACGCTAAATCGAATAAAATTCAAATTAAGTGGATTTTTTTAACTATATGATGGCAAAAATGTCTCACAAACTATCATGTATGCAAGTGTCACGAACCTAGACCTATTTCCACAATCGCCTATCATGATCCATTTTCAAGAATTAAAGAAGAGTGGCGAAATACAAATACAAAATAACTATAATAACAAGAAAAAAATTGATTAGAATTTTGATAAACTAAAGAAAAATCATGAATCTTGAAAAAATTAAAATAAATCCTTTTTCGTGAAAAATTGTACAACTACACATAAATCTAAGAAAGCCTTCATAATAAGCATCGGAAGAGACTACAAAGGGTCCCAAATTTCATCATGCGATATGGTTCATTACTATTTTATTGGGATAAATAAAGCACTAAGAGGTAACGTATACTTAAAATGACACGAATTTATTTTTTTCTATTCGATGTAGAATTCATGTTTATACTACAATTAGGAAAGTTCAATCCGTTTCATTTTTCAATATATATATATATATATATTCCCATTCTGTATAGAGTAATCACAAATTAAATCTTAACAATCTTCACATTGACTTTGAATTATTTAAAGCCTTCGAATAGAAATTCTTTCATATCTCCTCCAAACCAAACAATGCGTCTCTGCCATAGTCCCATCTATACGGCCCTTTCTCATATTAGAGAATTACAACGCTCCACCTAAAGAGTGTTGGCACTTAAAAGCAACAAATTCTTAGAATTTCACGTCGGTTCATGTCAAAAAATCCTTTTAAAAAATTATGGAGCGGCCACATGTTTTGCTTTCGTGAAGTTCATCAGGATCAGCATAAATTTCAACATATAGATGCATTATAATGCCAAACCAATGCGTTTGTGCAAGTTTATAGACCCATTAGCAAGAATACAATATTTGGCGCCTGCTTTTTCCCTTTTAGTATGCGCGAGTTGCAGTATTGAAAGTTGTGGAAGTCACGTCAAGGTGACACTCTACCGCTGAGTTATATCCCTTTTCTTCCCCCATCAAGAAGTAAAATTGACTAATCCTAAGTCAAAGGCTTTCACAGTTTTGGTTTATATGTTCATAATGATACCATGAGCGCTTTAGGGCTTCTCATAAGCCAATCCGCAAATAGATTGATTCTGACCACTCATTGATTTGTCTGGTATCTAAATATATGAGAACGACAAGCAGCTCTAGATTCAGGGGCTCTTGCTATAGCCAAACGTAAGGGAAAGATCATTTATATCATATTGATCCGAACTAATCCGTATGCTCCCATTTTTAATAAGATTCCAGGCCTTTCCGAGTATTTTATTATTAAGTATAGTCATGATTTTTTTTAATTGACATATCGGGGGCAGAACGTGCTTCTATCCCCTTATCGAATTCTCTGCCATTATCTATAACATGAAGTGTCGTAAGATATTGTAATAAATGTTATAGTTGAATAAAATTCCATCTCCTCTTCTCATCCCTTATCTCTTTTGATGAGCTCTTCGAGAGTAATGGTATAGGCGTAGGCTCATGACTCTTGAAAGTGATTATCGCTCGCAATGGCAACCCTGATAGTGGCAACTTACTGGCCAATGATATGCCATGACCCATGACAATGAACACATCATTTTAAAGAACATTATTATCTCTCACGAAGAAAAGATACATACTGGTAGCGCCAATGTCAATATCTCTATTTACTCCCCTTGAACAATTATCGAACTTGCTTTACCTTTGAGCAATTTTTCTTGAGGTATCCAAATTATCCACATCTTTTGAAAATAAGGGCATGTCTTCCTTATTCAAATCCTTTCGTGCGTGTGTATCCTTGACTTGCACTTCCTAAAAATCAAATGCTCTCTTCGTTCTATAAAAATAGAGTTGCTTTATTTTTCGTCTGTTCCAAATTATAGACCACTTTTCTTGTTGAAAGTATAGTTGATTTTTTAAATTCTAATATGCCACTATTTAATGTGCCTTGTTATCAACAAATTTAGACTAGCTATTAGAAAGAAAAAAATATATTTCTAAATATATTAATTATATTTTCTTGATCCGTGTAAAAATGGAAATAAACATATTTTTATAGGACGAAAGGAGTATAACTTTACTATCAAGTTATCACATATCGTAATAGTCTTTGACATAGACCCTTATTCCTTAAAATCTCCCTTCGAGTCTCACAAAGAACGCAGTAAACTCGTTTAGAAGCATATTATTGATATATACTGCTTTCGACAACCAAAACTGCCACTGGTATCGGTCACTTTTGTTTTTTGACAATGTCAAGAGGGAGAATCATTAAAATCCTTATTTTTGCTTAAGCTCTTATTCTTAGTGCCTAAACATAGATTAGATTATCATATTCTGTCTTAAAGCAAATACGGATAGTACCATTTTCTAAGCAATATCCAGACATTAAGAGGCATAAATTTATTATTTTTTTCTTTTTTTATATATAATTTCTTAACTTTTTAACTATTTCATAGATAATTGCTTCATTTATAAGTTATGCTTCTCTATCTTTCCTCAT